GAAGAAGCGCTGTGTCATGGGAAGCCCCCAGGAGACGAGGCCTATGGCAGAATAACTACGGGTGAAAAAAGGAACAGTATGTATGCGGGCGTTTATGGGATGCTCAGATTAAGCCAGCAGTTTGGAAACAAGTTACAGGAACTCAGTCTGATTGAGATCTGGTTACTGACACTTTGACTTGTTAGTGATACTTGCATAAAACCAAACATTAAAGCAAAGAAACCCCACACTTAAAGCTGAATAACTGAAAGTGGCAGCACTGAAGGCCTAGCATTAACAGAAAAAGTACAACTATAGCCACCAGGCCAGAGAAGTGAAGCCCCTGCAGAGGTGCCTCGCAATCCCTTGAAATAGAGTCACTAAAAAAAATCACTGTTTTCATGAAACACTAAATCAATATAATGTAAAAAAAAAAAAATCTATATAATCTCATTGTCTGAACTCACTCCTTCAGTGAACTTGTGATCCTTTTGAAATGAATCCCATCAGTAAGTGTGTATTAAACTGCAAAGAAAGGTATATACTTCGAATCAGGTTTCCAGGGTCACCAGCTCCACCTTATCCAAATATGGTCACTTCTGACTCCAGAATTCAAGTGCACATGGTGGTCAATAAACCAGCTGGTGTGACATCAGGATGAGGGCATCTCTATTGGAAACATACATAATGTCTGCTATTGTCAGCTGATATTTGTCTGTCTGGTTCTAGAGGCAACACATGCTCTACTCTTTGTCATCATGGTGTCTTAATTGTACTTGATGGTTTCAGGCAGGGTCAAGACTCTGTGCATCAATATAAATGATACCCAAGTAGTGTGTGAGCGCATGTACGTGTGTGCGTGTGTGTGTGTGTTTTAAGGCAGATGGGCAGTGAATGATAAAGCTCATGAAATTCAAAAATGAAAATTGCCCTGCACTGAGAACAGAGACACCCATTTGAAAATATAGAATTAAAAATAACTATACATAAAAATGCATAAAGGCGTACATTAAAATATAAAATCCCACCATACATGCTAACATTAATCTATGTAACCTTGTGTGTAACCATGAAACCACGCACATACAATAAACTCAGTAGTCAATGTTTAAAATGACATCATCTTTATCCTTTTAGACCTCTCATGTCTTTTTGTTGGGATGAGCTGAAATCAAGCTTGTTTTGGATAAGGATTCATTATCTTCAAATCTTTTTTGGCTCAGTTTTCATTCTTTTTTAGCTAATTAGCTAATGCATGTCTGACTCTGATCCATTTTGGACAGAGTCCATATATGTGCATCTCTGTGCATTATTTCAGTTATTCTGAATCTATGTGGATGGTTCCACTGGTGGGGCATAGAGCCTCTTTGGGTGGATGACCAAATGGAAAATACTGTTCAATGAATATCATTTATCTATGGAAAAAAGTTACCTCATGCTATTGTGCTGACATTTAACTGAAATGCAACACGGATCTTTTTCACTGTTAATAATTAATTTAAAAAATGTGGTGTAGGCAAAAACATAAGAATCATTGGATTATGGGAACTGAAGGAACCAGTGAAAAGACTCTGAGACTGAATGTTGTGCTGTCTTGTCTGGAAATCAGTGTGTGTGTGTTCTCAGTGGTATTATCTCTGTCCTTTAACACGTGTAAATGTGCTCCAAATTCAGTATGTGTTGCGAGTACATTGTGTAAATGACATTACCTCCCAGTAAGTGCTAACATAGTCATATTCTGCTGTTAACCTCTCTAAGTACTTCCATTCTCATTCTCAGTTTTTATCTTCCCACCTCTTTACCGGCTTCCTTCCTGTTCAATTATCCATTTCCATCTGATTCGCTAATGACAGCCCCATAACTGTGTGGTTGACTTGGCAGCTCCAAAGCTAAATGTATATTGAATGGTAACATTGCATGCTACTAGCACAAAAGCAATTGAAAGGGGTCATTTGTTAATATGGTGGATCAAGCAAATGTCACATATTCTTTGGACTTGATGGCATCTGTGTCACCTTAAGAACTGAGTTAGAGTTAGGTTGAAATAAGCCACAATCAAAGGGCAGGTAATTTGGGTTTTATTGAATCAGAGCAGACAAGAAGTGGTGAGTGAGTCTGCACACACACCCAAAATCCATACACTGCTTCATTTTTGTAACAAAACTTCCAAAATTAGTTTTGTTTAAAGGTCAATGTTGGCTTTATTTCTCATTCTGCCACAATCCTTAAGAACAATGTTCTCTGTGCTGTGGCTGCTTAAATGCCAGGACTGCATGTTTAATGACTTATGGGGAAATGGGATCAGGGAGCGAGGGCAGCACTGCCACATAGAAACAGAATTATGAATGGAACAAGAACAACTTTGTGACAAATCACCTCCCAGTTAACCTGAAGTCAGTTTGCTTATGCTTACTTTGCTTAACACTAGATGGCAGTCTTGGCCCAAATGGAAAGTCGTTTCGTGTCCAGATCAGGCAAGTTTAATTTGCTCATGCTGCTGCTGTGTGTGTCTGTGTGTGTTTGTGTGTGTAGAGTGGGAGGGATCGTGTGTACTAATGGCTTATTTCTGTCAAGCCGTGTTCTGCAAGGTCTCAACTGACACTGTGTTGACAGTAATGATGGCCAAAGCTCTCTTTCTCTTGCGCTTTCTCTTCTATAAACACAAACACACACACACACACAGTCACACATGCATACACACACATGTTAGTTGACTCTCGTGTTGAGAGTCAGTGGCAGCGTTTGACTCAGTTTGCCACAGTTGTCACTGAGCAGTGATGTGTGCTCTTGTGTCTAATATTAAACAGATATTACTTGTGTGTGCTGCAAGTAGAGCACCTAATGACAACACTTGACTGACTTTGCGCTCTTTTGAATGACTCACTGCTGGGTTGGTTCAAGATTCACTACTGTCATCTTCCTTTTTAATAATAAATTGCCTACTGGGTAAAGCCTACTGCTTTTCCTCTGGAGCTGGACTGTAAGCTCATTTATGTATTAATTATAGACTGTAAGCTAAATATATTGTCATTTCCCAAGCCTGGTTTCTGAGATAGGCTCTCAGATGTTTAATTATTGTGCTAGATGGTACTATTGGGCTGCTGGAATGTCAATAAAATAATATTTAGAGAGTGTGACTATAAAATACAATGTGAGTGGATTTGTTGCTAAGGAGGACCTTAAATTTGGTCTAAAAACAACTGATATCCACTGCCACACAGGTTATAAATGATACTGTATGACGTATTGTGCAGTAAGTACACTACATATCATATTAGCAATGCAGCAACTTATTAATGCCATTATTATTATATTTTTGTTTCTTGTTATATATTTTTAATATTGGGTAATATTGTAAAATACCCATCACAAGTTCCAGAAACACTGTACTTGCTTAAAATTCACAGGCACATCCATTAGAAAGAAAATCTGTCATAACTCTTTGGAATTACCTGGTTTTAGATTCATTGGATCATGAAATGTGATCCTTGAGTAACTAACACACAGAATTTATGCATATTTATAGAGCACACTCATTTGAGGTCAAAAGATAATCTAACCCTTGGATTTAATACCTGCTTCAGCCTCCTTTGTAATCTCAAACCTCAGGCTTTAGAGGAACCTGCAGGTCAGAGATGGCCGATGATCACAGGGGGAATTTCGGACCATTTTGTACTTACAGGACTCCTTCAGCGGAGTCAAATTTCAGGATGTGAAAGGCTCTAATGAGGTCATGCCACCACATCACCCATTTATGGGAAGTACTCTAGGTTGAAATAAATTGGATTTAATATTTAAGGTAAATGCCCTGCTGCAACACACAACTTATTGTGCACGCCCAGACATAATTTTGCATGATACCAGCTTTTCTCACCCCTGACTCTAATTGTTTTCTGTTGCTGTCATTAGCTTAGCATTAGCTGGAGACGTTTTCCAGCCTGCTCTGTGAAGAATTCACAGATGGAGAAACAAGTTAAAATATTTATATTCAAATACACAACATACACAAACGTACTGGGCCTCCTGCACATTACACCTTACACCTATTCAGCTCAGCTTATTGGACTAAGAAAGTGTAATGGGTTTCCGTGATTGTTTGTCCATGGTCACCTATGCCATGAAGTTCCTGGTGCACAGTTTTTGTGCTCATGTTAATGCCAAGGGAGGTTTGTAACGCTACAGTTATTGAGTCAGCAGTGTTGGCAACTTTTACGCACAGCTCTTGGTAATCCCACTCTGTAACTTTACGTGGTATGCCAATCTGTGGCTGAATTGCTATGGTTCCGAAACACTTTCACTTTGATAAAGTAACACTTACAAGTGATTGTGGAATAGCTAGGATGGAAGAAATCTCACAAATGGACTTGTTGTGACAGTAGAATGATAGCTCAAATTCAGGGAGCTCTTTAAAACTATGTCTTCTTCCACAAATGTCTGAAAAACAGACCAAGGGCTGAACATACAGAAATTGTGAAATTGCATCCAGGAACTTGTTATGCAACAGTGCTAACCACCATGCCACTGTGCTGCCCAATAATAATTATAATACTCTATAAAATTGCCATTAAAAAACTTCATTTTGTATTTACTGCCGTTATTTTTTTCTCTAATATTAAAATTTGTTTGACGATATGAAACATGTAAGTGTGACAAGGATACATGTGTGATAATACTGCAAATGACTGCATAATGTGGTAAAAAAAAAAAAAAAAAAGAGAGACAATACACAAAAGTTAGATAGATACAATAGTTACAATATGAATTTTAACAAAAGCTGTGTAGGCTACAATATTGGTTTGGGAAAATAGTTATGTAGGATAATTGAGACACATTCACCTCAAGTTTCACTGGAGCGCAGTTCTAGGTTAGTGCCATCATTTCGTGATCTGGGCTGGGCCGATGTAAACCAGCGGCTGAGGGTGTCGGACCCCTTCGCCCTTTGACCCCAGCAGCGTCCCTAATCTGCATAGAGGAATGAGAGGCATTTTCAGCCGCTCACAGGAGGAGGGGAGGAGGAGGAGGTGGTGGAGGGAGGCGACGTTACGACGTAGTAGAGAGTGAGTGAGAGAGTGAACCAAGTTTCCAGCGACTGAGCCATCACGGCGTAAAAACTTCTTTTTTTGAAATGAACTCGCTTGGCGGCGGCGGACGGGGTTTATGCGGAGATAGAGAGCCGTGATAGCGGTTTCGGGGGCCCGGTCCGGCCCGGTGCTCAAGCCGAATATGGGTCAGACCGCCGTGTCTGCCGTGTCTCAGACTGCAAGCGGTGAGTGTGTGTGTACATGTGGTGTGTGTGTGAATACGTGCAGTGTGCAGTCTCCCTTCCTCTTGTCTCTCTCACACACAATCCGCTATCTTTATTCAGGAAGTCTTCTCTTTTTTTGTTTTCGTTCTTTCACATTTCTGTCGCATAACTTCGACACAGTTCAAACAAAGCGCTGCGCTAAATACCGTTAACGCCAGTGGAAGTTTGCTAAATAGATGTGTGTTCATTTTATTCTTGCATCATTTTACGCCGTGTGTGTGTGTAGGGGGTTTCTAAATTTATCGCTGGCTCTGCCACCCAACTGTTGTATAGCAGAAAGAAAAACTAGTGAAACAGCCTGTCTTAAAACAGGATGCAGTGTTGTATAACCCAAGAGCTGTTTAAAAGGCTGGCTTGTTGTAACTAGGTAATGAAGACTTTATGTGTTTAGCAGTCAACTTGACATTGGTCGAGATGATCGAAAGGAGCGCAGATTAAACTTGTAACCATTTCCCCCTACAGTAGACCCCAGATTGAGATGACTATCTGAGCACAGTAAATACAGTCACGAAGCTGTTGAGCAGCACTCAGTGAGTCAACAAGTAGGCCTGGTCATTTTTATGAAGAGCTAGCAGGAAATGCAATTTTACAGAAGATATTAATTTTGGATAAATGAGAAGTGCTGGAGTTCTGAGCTACGTTTAAACCGGTTATTATTTAAATTATGGATTAATGTAACTCCTTAGTGAGTTAATTATCTCCTTAATGAAGACTTCTTCAGATTTCTTTCTAGTTTTTTAGGTGCACCATGTTAGTACTGGATTTGACCGCCTTTTACATTTACAGCTACCTTAAGTCTTCGTAGCATAAATTCAGCGAGGTGCTGGAAACATATCTTTGGTGCATATTGACATGACAGCATCATGCAGTCATCATGAAGATTTGTCAGTGATGTGGATCTCCTGCTTCACTGTGTCCCAAGACCTCGGTTGGGTTGAGATCTGGTGACTGTGGAGGCCATTTGACAGTGTCATTGTCATGTTCAAGAAATTATCTTGAGATGATCTGAACTTTGCAGCGGGGCATTCTTTATATATTATACCACACACTATTAGACCTCTGTCACTAGCCTGAACTATTAATACAAGACAGGCTGTATCCACGCTTTCATAGTTTTTAAGTTCTACCCCTGCGATCAGAATCAAAACGTCTTCAGACCAGTTAATGTGTGTCCGATCTTCTCTTGGTAAGCTTGTGCAAACTGGAGCCTAATTTTTCTGTTCTTAGCTGGTAAGAGTGGCACCCCGTGTGGTTTTGTGCTGCTGTAGCCCATCTGCTGCAAGGTTGCATATGTTGTACTTTTAGAGATGCTCTTTTAGATACTTGAAGTTAAAACAAGTGGTCATTTGGGTTATTCTTGCCTTCCTATCAGCTCAAAGCAGTCTGAGGGGCAACACCAAAGGCCCTGAAAAAGTGAAGTTATCATTTCAAACTAGGAATCATGCAGATTTTGAAGATTATGAAGCTGAAGCTAATAGAAAGAAAAGGAAAAAACACTCTTAAATGAAACAGTCTAACCATCAAGTGTTTATCAGCTTTATAATGACATTGAAGCTTATTATGATCTACAGATTGAACAAAAAGAGTAGTTTGTGTTCTTTCATCTGCATACTGAACTGCAACACTGATTGTTCATTGGTTAATCTGTTGGAGTTCTTTGTGTATCTAATTCCCAGAGTCATTTTAATCAGCTTTTTTCATATGCAACACTGGCAAATACTGAACCCGAATGCTTTGTTTTTACAATCAAAGCCTTTTTTTCCATCTGTAGTCCTTGGTTGGTTCGTTGAGCCATAAAGGTAGGCACTTCACGTTCAATCACACTTTTTATGGGAAGGCTTAAAGGCAGTGAGGTAGAGGATGAGACACATGACTCTGGATGAAAACAAAACTAAATCTGTTTTATGGCTCTGTCAGCATTTAAAGTAAAACTCAGACTCAACTGTAATGCACTTTAGTCAACATGCAAAGGAACCTGGTGGCTATAATAATGATCTATACGTCCTGCATGGTTGCATTACGACTTCATAATGATGTGGTGTGCTTTAAATGCTGAATCTACAGCACTAAGAGCAGAAGTGGAATTCTTTCTCTCAGGGTCTTATTGAAAGATCATTAACATAATACTGAGATCTCTGAGCTTCTCTATCAAAGTTAAAACATGGTCAGTTTCCTGTTTGACTGCTTTTTGCTCTGTTAGTCCAGACTTAGCCTGAGCTTTGAAGTCGTGCAAGTATCATGAGTTGAGCTCTATAATGCTTCTCCAGCCTTTGCTGGAGCAAGATTTGGAAGAAATGACCCAAGTGTTACAACTGCAGAGCCCAGCGCCGCCCCTCCCTCCACTCTTGTCCAGCGCTTCTTGTTGCCTTGTCTTCTTCTCTTCCTTTCCCTGTTCCTTCTTTAATCCCACATTTTCTCATGCCCCACCTCAGTGTCCCTTTTCCCCTGTGTTTCCCCTCTTTCATCTTTTCTTCTTCCCTTTGTTTCTTTTTGCCTCTTTCTCCCCCTTCATCCCTCTTCCTCTGTTTGTGACGCTTGCTTCTTCCCTCCCCGGTGACTTGGAGTGAAGGAAGGAAGCCTCTCCCTTTTCCCTCCTCCTTAACACATGTTCAGGCAATAACGTCTGAAAAGAGTTTGCTGGCTCTGTCACAATACATCTCTTTTACCCTTAAATATTATATCAGGCGATACATATAAGACTTTGCAGTTTGTCAAGGCAACTGGCAACTGAAGACTCTTTTATTTGGTCGTCTGCTGTCTCTGAAGTTGTTTCTAATTATCCCACCCAGCTGCAAAATATCCAAATCCTGACTCACCCATTTTGCATGACATTGCATTTCAGCTGTTTCAGTGTAAAATTCAGTGTGGAACAATGGAGTCGAGTCAGCATCTGTAATGTGTAACAACGTCCTGGAATTAAACTGAGATTTAGAGGAGGTACACAGTTTAATTTCAAGAGATCAAATACAGCACTATTTTAAAGCAACTGTCAGTTACAACAAATACTGACAGCATAAAATGTATTACTGTTAAACAGCAGATTGATGAACTGAAGATCTTAATTCCTCTGATTTGGTTTCCTAAAATCTGATTTTGTTGATTTATGATGGTGTATATTTTTCTTAATAGATACAACAGATTAAGGCCTGGCAATATTGACTTTAAAAAAACAAAAAAAAAGTTTTTTTAGTTGAAAAGAAGTCAACATGTTTAAAGCTGTTATCTGTTAGTACTTACCTTGTTGACAGTGTTCGACCTATTGGCAAATAAGATTGGCAGTGGTTAGTATTTATCTGTTTGTGTAATGTAATGAACAGCTAAAACGTTTGCTGTGTTTGATGTAGCAGTCGTTGAGCATTATTTCTGCACATACAGTAAACTAACATTGTCTGCCTCAATGTATTATATTACATTATATGTCACCATTATATTTGACTATGTAGACGTGTCAGTGGGCTTGAACAGGAATGGGACAACTGTGGTGTTCACCACAAAGAGGAACAAGCGCGAAATAAACAATCAAACATTTAAAAAGTAGCAAAAGAAGCACATACAGTGGGTGCAGTGGAGAGTTTTCATGTTGTTTCATATATTGTTTTAATTTTACCCGGTGTCACTTCACAATAAAGAAGTTTTATATATATATATATATATATATTGTGTCTTCTGGGGCACAGGCTAAGCTAAAAAAAGCAGCACTAACACAAGCGATAGAGTCCCAAAGACTGCCTCCCCAGTTTACAGTATACAGTATAGAACAGCGGTCCCCAACCCCCGGGCCTCGGACCG